CGCTGGAGTATGAACCCAAGAACTCTTGATCTTAATAATTCATTACTTATTTATCTAGGTCTGGTTAACTCTTTCGCCAGTTATTTTTAGTGATAGCTCCCCCGCCCTCCCGCGGCTAGTGACTACCTGTCCGCAAGTTAGTTACCGTTAGTTGGGTCGAGCTTACCCAACGATTTGGCCCAAATCCCCCGCCCCCGGCTAAGAACGACCTCAAAACTGATTCCCAGAACGAACCTTTGTTCCACGTGAATATTTAATCTGAACCTTTGCGGAAATTATCGAATAAATCCACCGGATCGTCAGATAATATTAAATACGTGAGGATAGTTTTATGATCTGGGGACTTTATAGGGTAACCAAAAAACAACATGGAGAAACAGTGTGTATTGAAAATTTTAATATTTTCACATGTTTGGTGCCATGATGGCATTATATAAATTTAAGTTCGATTCTATTCTAAATTAGATTGAAAAAAAAATACAACACGGGCAGGGCTTGAACCGGTATCTCTCTGAAAATGAAATAAAACGAAAATCCAAAAATTTTTTAAAGTTGTATTCATTACAATATTGATCATTGATATACACTTAGTTTGTTTTGCATTCACGACTATTGGAGAGAAGACAATTTATATGTCCGTTATACTCATTAATTTTTTTTCAAATGAACCGAATCTGGCCTACGCGTACCATACGGTAGTAACCCCCAACCTTAGTTGTAATATGTGTTATTTCACTTTTTATTCACTTTATTAGTGTGTTTTTCCCACACTTCACGTACATTGGGTCATGAAAATCATTAACACAAGTGTTTTAAATTATTTTTTGTTGTTTAATTATTTTAAGCGTTATATTTTATATAATCTGTATGTTTAGTTATTAATTAATCTTAGTTTATATTTTTTTGTGCCAATTTTTTAATAAATGATTTTTATGATTATTATTATTATTAATAATCACATATGTTTATTTAGCCAGAAAAAATAGTTATTAATATATTTTTGTTTAATCTGTAAACTATATTTCTATATTCAGTGTACCTAAAGTTCTGCATAATTTTGCCACTATAACTTATACACAACATTATATTAATAAATGTTATAATTTTTGAGTTATATGAAATTATATTATTTAGTTATTAAATAACATTTTATTGATAATTACATGTCTAGTTTAAAATCTCAACAGATACTAGTAATAGTTCTAAACCTATTGAGCTAATTAGAAATAGATGAATAGAATAAGTAGACTTAAATAATGTTTGTAGTTTACGCGAGTAGTATACATTTAAATAAAACACTACGTTAAAACGCGATATTTAGGTAACCTTGTTTGAAAACTATATCTAACTACGACCCGAGCAAGTGAGTAGAATTAGTTATACAATATAAATAAAATTTCCAAAAATAATATATTTTGGCTATAGGTACGTTATTTATTTATTTACTATTTGGTTTGCCTATCTCACGATCGAGTAAGCTACCGGATTAGTGGTATTTCGAAAGTGGCGACCACATTTTATTGGCGAGTGGTGTAAGCACTGCGCAGACGCACGGTCCATGAGTCACCGGAGACTCCCACGCCGCGGTAATGGCTTCCCTAATACAGAGGGCGATCGCCCCTCCTTAATTGTATGCTGAGTGACCGCGAGAGGTATTGTGATGCCCCTGCTCGACTCTTTGTATTGTGCACTAATTATTATTGTTAGCATAGATTTTTCAAACCCCGGAACTACTGTAATCATAAGTTGTACGAAAATCACGGAAGCTTAAAACGAAGGTGTTTAACAGGTGAAAGCTGATTCCGTCGTGGTCACTGAGAGAAGAACTTCTAAAATAACGTGATCTATACAATAGTATGTTGTTTGATTTATAAATTGTTCGTAAACTACAGATAGCATCGCATCTGATGGGCTTGTTGGTGTAATGGTAGCAATGTACAGCTGTTGTACAGTACAGTACATTATCTTCGGGTCGTCAGTTCGACCGTTGGACTTCGTCTGGAAATCTGAATATTAAATGGTAGGAATGCTGAATTCCCGTCCGGGTTACGAATCACCGTCCACAAGTGAAAAAGCCCCCAAGTTTTATCGCGTTTCGGTTTCAGTCTGTGGACCTCCGAATATCCAAAGCCTAATTAGGCCGACAGCACATCTAGTTTAGATGTTATAATGGCTGGGGTATTTCGCCGTTCATCAAGTGAACTCCTCGCGTGACTGTCCTCCTGGATCATAAAAGAAAAACCAATATTATTTCCGTTGCCAGCACCTCCAGTTGGTTAAAACGTTTTTTAGTTGACGGGTCGTTGGCGAAAAAACAAAAGCGTCGCAGCCCGTCAGCTTGTTTGTAAATCGATTCGTTTCGCCCTCAGCCTAGGAATTCAGAATGTCTATTTACGAAAAGGCGGATAGAACGAAATGGATACCGTATGTCTAGATTAGGGGCATATATTTTGTGTTGAGTTTTTCATATTGTGCTAAGTTCGTTATTAATTGTAATATCACCCGGATTTTTTTACAATTTTCCGTATTTGTATTAGAATTGTTCAAGTCTGAAGGGAATCCGGGAGCGCTTTTGTAAAAACGCTGGCGTGGTCAGCGATGTAAAACTATCCGCATTACGTGAGCCCGTCACAAAGAGTTGCAGCACGAGTGGGGACACAGCTGCGTGCTCTTTTAGTTTGAGTTGCTAATGTATACTCCAAGGCATGAGATACAGCGTTTTGTTGATTGGAAACTGACTCAGATTTTGACAGGTTGGACCTTTAATCCCTTAGAATTTATCACTTGACTATTAAATAATGCATATAACTATATGTTCTATAAAGATCAAGATAAATATCTGTTCCAATTAGCTGTTAAGCAATGCAAGGTTTTAGAATTCAGCTAAATTACTCTTCCATTGAAGAAATAAACTTGAATATATCACAGTTAATTGTTCACAAATATTCTCATTGTATGGCCATGTTATATTAACACCTAACGATTTAAAATATATAAAAATACATTTATTTTTAAAGTGTTCTCCGTGATCACAACTGCCCGATTATCTAAAATAAATAAATGTTAGTCAAAAGTGCATTTTTTTATCTGGAACATTTGCTTAAACTACAGATAGTACAGTTGCAAATTGCAATGCTTCGTTTATTTTCGTGACCACTACTCCGCGGTTATATCTCTTATCGCTGCTCACCTCTGCCTTGCGTGATTGTGCATTGACGCGTGTAGCGCGCGCGCAGATAACTCGCAGCGCGGTGACTCACGTGGAACGACGCGCCCGACGCGAAAAGGGCCGCGGACTAACCGATCATTATTCGTACTTACACACTCACAACAGTGATAAGACATAAGGCTTTAATAAGCGTTCGAATGAGTCGAACCTTATGCGCGTGGTCTGCATTAAAACATTAAAGATTTTAATTAAAATAGTCGACTTATCGTCAATGTTACTATTGATCACCGTTTTATATAACACTATTGTCAGTTGTCACGGCTATTTTAACTTCCTTTTGTAGTTATGCAACCAGACTAAGTTTTACAGTTACATACATAACATATGTTTTATTACATAAGCATTGTTCTTAAATACGAGGAGATAATATGCTATTCCGCGTTCCCTTTTAGTTACTCCCTATGACCTTAAAAAGATGAAATTTCGAGTACAAATTTATACTACATAGTTGACTTTTGAATAATAGAGTGCCATATTATCATATCAGTTTGGTTTGGTAAAATTTTGACACAAACAAAATAAACACGATAAATATCGTGATCTCAACAACCGTTTAAAATATGTCATCCTTTTGTAACAAACATCTCACTTAACTGTTCAATTCAAATTCCGTTGTAAAACCGGCTCTAACACAACATGTTAAAGCATATTTTAGTTTACCACACCGGTGATAATATTAACAACATGGCAAAGAAAGACCATTATAAAGTGACCTTTATGGTCCAAGTGTTTCGTTTGAGCAGTCACGTTGGGTTGAATTGTATGAAGTTCAAGTTTGGCTGGTCGATTTATTGAGTCGTGCCGGAAAGTTTTGCAGATATTGAAACGAATGGCGCCACCTGTTGAGTTCAGTTCGCAAGTTTGTTAATGGCCGTACCTATTTGCTGAATGGTGCGGCTTCACATACTGTTGGTTCACTAAATTAAAATGGGTTATTTATCAAATGTGACTTGTTGGGCATGTTTTATTACATTCACATCGAAGAACCGGCGCGAAAGTTACACGTATACATATACAACAATCATCATTGAGACAATCAGTTAAAAATTTAGCTTACAAAAAAATACGTATGTTTATTTCATTAGAATGCATTTTCGAAGTCTCGCTACACTCAATTTTTACGTTTTAATATAAGAAAATTTTCAAGAAGATTTTAAGCCGCAGTGCGGATTGCGGACTGTCATGCCTAATTTTCTTGTCCTTAAACTTGCCTTTCCTGCATCGCGGTAAAACTATCTATTTTGAATGGTTATTAGTTGTACGACTAATATTTCTATACGTCTATCAAGCAAAACAACTTGAATGGTTGACAACTTTTATATTTTTCACATGTATTACAGATGATGGCCTTACGAGTACCTACTTATATCATAAATTAAACATCACGCCGTGTCCATGATATACGCCGACAATGTAGCTCAATTGGTTATATTGCATGGGAACGCTAGTGGATGCCGGTTGAAGTCCCGCTCGCGTCGTTATTTTTAAATCTAAATAGATTTTTAATATTACGGGTTAAGACGCCAAATATAAATAAATCCGGATCGTTCCTTATTGATATAGTTAATTGCAAGAGTATGAAAATATTTGGTTTTATTAATGTCTTAATGCTGGCCGTAGAAACAACTACGAGTTAATAAGGGATTGCATGAAGCGTAATAATATCCTAGAACGGCGAAGTGCTCACACGAGCCATCGAATGTTCTAGAATAGGAATAGCGAGGTCCGAGCGAAATTAGACCGGGCGGACGTGCGTTCCTTTGTGCGCCATTTAATTTGGTGACGTAACGGAGAGCAACGCAAGCAAAGGGGAGCTTATTACGCTCGCCGGCGCTTTACGAGCGGAGCGGGCGAGCGGTTTTTTGTGCGCGCTCGCCGCCCGCCCACCGCTCGCCTCGGCCCCCGCGATGTCACGCGCGACTCGAGATGGGGTGGCAGTCGCCAGGATCAGCCAATGCTCAGGGTTGCCACCTTGACGAATTCTTTTTATAATCATTACCGACTTATATGATAGTATATCGGATATTTTGCTTATTTTATATTTATATGATGATAATTTACCTTTTTTTACCAATTCAAAATAACGTAAAGGGTAACATAACTTAGGTCGTGAGTTTTAAGCCCTACTAATACCTAGATGTCAAAGATAAGTTTGATTTTATGAAAACACTTAACGACGTTTAATATGTATACAAGTTATATTTAGTGTTTAGATAAGTAAAAAATTCATCATATATTTTTACTAAGAGATAATAGATAGCTCATTTGATATACCAGTACTACTTCGTAAGTACAGTAAGTTTGAAAGTTTGTGCCAACCCTAAGATGAAAGCATCGTAGTCTTCATTGTAATACTGCTGGAGGCCGCGTCGCGTTGCCATAACAACCCACCCTCTACCTGCCCTCATTAATATGTACCGGACTCAACTGGACACTGTCTTGGTATCGACGGTGGCTTCTCTCAAATCGACACCTGAAAATTTTATTAAGACCTTTAGGATCCGTGCTCACACTACGATTATGCTGAATTAAATTATTAAATAAGAATTCGTAATGAAATACATCTTCTCGCGATAAATAGATTGATATTATATATAGGAGAAATGAAAAAAAACTGATATCATGATAGGTTCGGATGATTAGGATTTGTATAATCAAGGGTTTTCCATCTAGAATACATATAATAGATACTTAAGATTAAGTCACTTAAATAAAGGCTTATCAATATTAAGCTGAAAAGATAAGGTCGTGTCTAAAATCTCATAATATTTACTTTGTGGTAAAAATTATTAATTTGTTCACTTTTTATTTGTTTGTCTAAAAGTATAAAGTTCAGTCTAAATGTTGCCATTGATTGATGAACAGTGTTATTTTAGGTCGCGTACAGTAAATTAGTATTCAAAGAGAACGCGGTCTATACCTAATATTTCGCAGAACACAGCTAGGTATATAGAATGACCATTGAATGTAGGTCGGACGGCGTACCTATCGAAGCGTTTTCCCAGAATTACCTAGGTCCGGGCGAGAGCACTAACTACTATATGCATATACCTAGCCTGCTATTTACTGCGCTGGCTGAATGCACATTGGACACTCCTTGCGAATATCTGAGAGGGCTTGAAATGTAGAAACTTAGCTACCATAGACCTACATAGTTACCACAGATACTAATATAATATTTGTTACCAAAATCCTAATAACTATAGATAGATACATTTCTTTCAAAGCTTACAGTTTACATTATATTTATATGGAAGTTTTGGAACGGTTTAAAATGTGAAGTATATTTTTAGAAGTATTTATGACAGGATTCGACGTTGCTGTTTACTTCCTACAGCAGTAAGCATGAAAGTAGATATTAGTGTATAAATATATTGATGGAATTTTGTTATTTTTTCCACAAAACAACATTCTTTATTATACGCTTAATATGAAATATGTCCTAGTAGATGTTATAATTATTATAGGACCAATTTGGGAGCTCGGGAATTTATTTGAACGCTGTGACTTTGCGACACGCGTAGGTCAGTCGCGATAAGGTTTACTATCGAAATAGCTAATACCCTCCGCGCCATAGAGTCGGCTTCGCTCGGCGCTTATTACGGGTCCGTGCTACTTGCGAGGGAATTAGCAATTTGCGAGGAAACTAATGGCGGACGCGCCACCGTAGCCGAGTAGACTCTACGTGCAGAGATTCTCAAACTTTTCTCTCAGAACGTGAAAATTGGCACTATGAAAGACCTTGCACTTAAATCAAAATTGAGCGGTTTTGTTTGCATTTATGACAGAGAAGATCTGACAAGCAAGGGATTCACTTAATATTAAAATAGTGGTATTTGTAAACTAGATGTGCTTTTTTTTTGCAGACTGAAACCGAAACGCGATTACACTTCACGCCTTTTTTATCTGTGGACTTACCTTTCGCGATCCAGGAGGAAGTTTGAAATTCCTACCACCCTTTTAATATCCTGATTTTGGGACGAAGTCGATATGTTATGATGTTAGACCGAACCAACGACCTGTTGATTATTAGCCATACATTAGCGAAGCAGCAAAGATATATAAATATACCTTGTAGTCTCAACTAATTAGAATTTATACCGCGAAAAATAATCATCAAAGTTGCAATAGGGTTAAGTTCTAAAATACCATCGGAGATATCTGTAAAATTCGCCATCTAAAGTCATTACTCTACTACTTCGTACCTTACTTGGAATAAATTGACTTTGTTTTAAATGCAACAATTTAAAAAGACATAGAAATGGCTATTTTCTATATTAGAAGAAAATAATTATTTGTAAAGATAGATAATTCGTATTAAACATTCTTTTTTTATATCGACGCAATTTGTAAAGCTCGTATCCTCGGATTATTTGTTCAAAACAGCATTGAAGTCGAGCCAAATATATTCTGTATAAAACTACATGAATTTATATAGAACAGGAATAACCAACTTTCAGGTGTCACAAAATTATTGTCCACAGTTTGAAAACAGCAGTCTCAAAGAGAAGGCTGTGGTTCTGTCGGTTTATTGCAATGGACTGACAACTCTTGGATATTTGCCGGACTTGGGTTCTTTGAATTACTCATTTGGGCTAAAAATACAAAATGACAAGAAATTATACATGACTTATATCTGCAATAGAAAGTAGCTAAGAACAGTTTTCAAGACATACTTAAAAAAATAATTAGTACGATATATATATACATATTTTTAAATATATTATAACATATATATGTATATAATTAACTTCTCTGGTTTTTACATCTATTTTAATTGAGTTTTACTTTGCATTATCTACCATTATAGTTTTAAGTAATGTACGTATATGCTTTAATTTTTTTACACCGATGCAACATCTTAAGAAATAACTAAATCTATATATTTTGATAAATATAACAACGTATATATTTCGCGTTTTAAACCTTTAAAAATGTCGGATCTATTGTGTATCAGTCTCGTAATCCTCAACGAAAACCCAAAGAGTTAAATTTCACAATACAAAGAATAAAAATGATAAAAGAGTCAATACTAATAGGTTTGTCCATAAAAATATTTCCACATTAGTCAGTCTGACGCCGCGAGCGTTGATGTCTTTTACAAAAACCCTTGTCCGTCGTGTATTTACACTTGTTTAAAATTTGTTGCTGATGGTTTTATAATAATCTTTAAAGTTGTGTTTATTCTTAACTAATGGTTGAAAATTGTACTTAGTATTTATTGGCTGTCAGATTTCAGTTTAAATATGAGCTAACTACTATAAAATATATATATATATATATATTTACTTTGTTTTGTTTGATTTTCGTATGTCCAATAGTACTTGTTTCTCGTACAATTTATTGTTTATCTGCGATTCGAATTGACAACTACTTAACGTACGGATAGGAAATGCGATGAAACATTGAGCCAAAGGGGAAGTTCAATTATAAACGGCTGCAAAATCTTATAATATTTTTTTAAGTTAATTATAAATATACATAATTGGCACGTAATAAAAAAAAAATATTTTTATGGGTGATAATTATACATAAATTAAGAGATAAGTCTAGTATGTAAACAACTATACGAGTATACGCATAATACGAGTATATACATACTCGTATTATGCGTAACTTTTGGTTCTTACTTCGAAATGTATTTCGTCACGGCTTGAAATAATTATTTTAAGGTTTCAGGCGATCTTAAAGTGTGTGCACCAGAATCAATAATTAGTGAAAGGCGAATAAATTAAAGAGCAAAGTTATCGAGCACACATGGGCGGCGATTGTCGCCGAAGTAGCGAGGTCGCCCGCACATCTGCGCTGCGTGCCGCATCTGCCGCGGAATGCGCTCGCGCAATGCGTGCTTATAGCGTGCCCGATGATAAGGGTACGTGTACACACTACATAATATTAAAAGTCGTTATGTTGTTTTTATGAATTTATCGTTGTAAGTGTAGATAATATTTTTTGCACTTTAATTTCTCTGGTTTCGCAAAAGTTGAGTGTAAAGTACGCATAATCATTTTATTGTTTGTAATTATTAACTTATCGACTTGTACCTATATCAGGTTGTGTTTAAAAATTTAAATATGAACTTTTTCCACAACAGTTCTTTTTAAAGTAATGCATACTGACATTATTCTTCGTCACCATATTCCCTTCACATATTAATAAAATACCGCTGCAATGTTCTATCCAACAATTCACGCAAATACCGCGAAATTCAATTTGTATTTCTTTTCAAATTCTGTCCTTTTAAAATATTTCAAGTATCTTGTAAAAGGTCCTTTATCGAAATTCGGCGCCGACGGCGATGGACGGTGAACGGATCACCAAGTTGCATTTTTTTTTGTGCTCAGCCTACTCGCTTCTGCTTCGATAAATATAGGTTCTCTAGCATAACATATTCTGACGATATGGATTTATTTTTATTCACGTTATTATTACTTTATAATAACATCTATTTTACAAAACAATATTTGAGACGTAAAGAAGCCGAAATATTGACGTAACTAAGCGAAAAGCCCCTATTCCTCGATCCTATTATCAATGATTTAATTATATGTATTATTTAGTTTAGTTTACTAGCTCGATCGTTCTGATAAGCTAACGTCTATAGTGATGTATATCTAACTATAGATTGGTCTACGTTCGGTCCAGTAGGTTTGGGCAAGTGCTTGGAGTAGATTCGGCGGCAATTATTGTCCGTCAGCAAGGCGGGGGTGGGTGGCTGGTGCCCAGGGGGGGTTAAGATGGCCACCGTAATTAATTGGCGCGACGCGAGGGGCCGACCGCGCCGCGTTTCTACCGCGGTATTGCGCGTTTGTGGTCGCCACGCTATGTTGAGGATTTAGGATAATTCAAATGCTATACTATATAAATATTCTTTACTAGCGATTTCATACTTCGAGGCTTGAGACAAAGATTAATTATAATGCAATTTCAATCTTTTTAGGTTGGGAAATTAGTGACATTAATTAAAATGATGTTTCATCGATTACAATAGATAAGTAAGAAAAAAACTATTTTTTGCCAATAAAATATCTGTCACGAGTAAATAACAAGGTAGCATTATACTTATCGTCTAATCGTGTAAAACAGTATGCACTGTTGAAATTGAATGTGTTGAATTAATATTAAATTAATTGCCAAGAAGTACGGTCACCCTACAGCTGTCGACCAGCGATCCAACCGTAAACGTCTCACCCACACGCCGCGAGCGCCCGCTTGCCATTCGCTCCGCTACACATCTACTATAATATCCACCAACAGCGACCAACCTAGCAAGCTCCCTCAGCTTGCATCCAAAACCTTGAATAGCACACGAAACTTAAAGGCGCCTGAGGAAAACTGAGTTCAGGATACGCTGGTCAGCAACCAATACCGCACTATACCGACGTTCAGTATAATTAGAGCTCCGACCGCGAAGTTATTTAGACCCTCTCTCGTCTCAGTTCGGTGATAGCTCGAGGGACGAGGCGGGTCTACGTAGGCTGGGGCACGGGCCATACATTGCGCGGGTGTGAGTGAGTGTTAGTGCCAGTGGACCTCGGTTCGCTTAAGCGTAAATTCTGTTGCGTAAGTTAGAAAAGACGTCTGCTACTCGAGATAGGTCGCTTAGAGATAGGAGGTTCGCCGAATCGCGGCCTGAGGCTAAAAGATTGGCTCGTGTACGTTATAACTGGCTTACGATATCATGTTTTCAAGGGAACATCCGCTATAGATTTCATTATTTAACACATAGGCACTTCTCAGTTATCCATATCTGTTTGTGACAAATAAAGGTTCAGAATTGTGTTCCTTCCAAACTTGAAATGAAAATAAGGAAGACTCCAAAAAGTGTTCTTTTTCCAATAATGTTCAATTTTGTTCAATAAAAAATTAAAGCTTCGTTTTATATTAATTAAAGTACTGCCTTCAGTTTACGTATAGTGTTAAATAAGAAACTTTTGACGGTTTTAAACACTAATATCATAAGAAAAATAAAATTATAAGAAAAAAATCGCGACAGTATATGTCTATCTTTTAAGATTAACTTGCACGAACGACGAGCACGAGCGCGGGAAGACGTCGTCGGTAACAGCTTTAATTTAAAGAGGTTTGCAAAAACAAATTAAGATGCCACTCATAACTAATCTACGCGGACGAAGTCGCTGACACAGCTAGTATTCGATAAACGTGTTACATAACATCTGCGGTGCTGTTACGTCAAGTTTCAACAGCGCGGTCATTACATAGCTATCTCTAAGTTTCGCGCCTGAATGCTTGTCCGGTGACGTGCCTAGACGACTACGCTATCGAAAACTGGTCACTAAATAATATTGTTATCTTCTATCGGGCTGCCAACTTGCGTTTACACTGACGCTCGTAGACAGAGTCTGTATTTTTGTAATAATTTCTGAAGTGTAATCTTCAAATGAGTAACATATATTAAAAACCGATTATAAATTTAAAAAATATACGTCACGGGCAGAACTTGAACCACAGCCTCTGAGATCCTCTATTGGTTAAAGCAACAGCAGGGAACGCAGGCGTCCCTGTTCAAGCCCTGCCTGTGTTGTAATTTTTTTTCAATCTATAGTAGATTTTTAATTTATATAGTGTCATCATGTGCAACAAATTCAAACTTTCAAATGAGTAACATTTTGTTCTTCAGAAATTTTCTTGTAACTTGGTACTGGTCCAGAGCTATTAAAACAAGATTTTTCTTAAGAAACAATTATACGACTTGAACCGGCATCCACAGCTTTCTATGCTCTATCCAACTGAGCTAGCGTGCTCTACACGTCATCATCGATTCTTTTCAGCCTATTGATACATTTACCCCTCTCTTCATTAGAGTCTTCATAGTCAACTTATTATATCGATTACGTTTATATGCGTTTAGCAACAAGCGGATATACGATAACTATTCCAGAAATAGACAGCAATGCTGTGACAAAGGCAGTTTAGCAAAGAAGTTATTCGTAGATGGTGATAGTACATAAAAAGAGCTCCGTTAGCGCTGAGCTGTTCGTAACGTAGACTCGCGCTCGCAGATAAGGTGGCAAGTACTAAAATAGTTCCAATGGAGCCCCTACTACGTGTCGCTTGAATTAACAAAACCTGACGACACTTATTCATTACCAACTAGTCAGCTCAGCTTTATAAATTACTAGGTGTGTCAGTGACATCGTCCATGTAGAATAGTTATTTTGGCCGTCAAAATTTGTTTTTGCAAACCTCACCTTTATAAGTTATAGCTGTTACCCATTGCGTCGTACACGTCCCGTCGTTCTTGCGAGTTAATCTTAAACGATGGACATACAAGTATAGTGTCGGGGACTTTTTTCAGCTTTATAATGTAAGTAAAGATTTTCAAACATTTAGAGTTTCTTGGCATGAAAGTTTAATACTATTAAGATATCTATAGTATTCTATTCATACATGATATCCATATTATTAAGGTTTTGGTTATTTGTATAATATATACGGGGTAACATTAGCAAATCGAACTTGACGTTATTGTAGGAAAGATTAATTGTATTTAGGATTTTGTATTATATAAATTGACTTGAGAAGTATGCTTTTATTATTTTACTATTATATTCTCTTTATTAATTTGTTGTAATAAATATAGTATATTTTCTTAAACTCGGAGGATATCCGTTCGAGTGGCACTGTTAGGGGCACAATTTCCTCATTACGAGTCGAATTCTTCCCGGTCCACCCGCGCCATAAACCCGGCTCTCTAGCGCCGAATGTGAACCGGTGCTCGTTTGTACTCGCCCGCTTTGATGGCTCTTTAACTACGGACGGACGGACTGAGCCTGACGCTATCCCGCCTGTATTTATGTAGGTGCTATTTCCTTCATTATTTACAGGTTTAACCCCGCGACTTTCCGCTTCAGAGTTATATATCAGACAATAAAATCTTTAGGACTATGATGTTAAAGTCGAAAACCTGTCTGTATCTCTAGATATTCAACATGCAGATCTATGCAAGGGCGAAAAGTATGTTTAATTATCATAATTATTAATATTCAAAATCTGTGCACAATGAAAAAGTATATAAACTATATAGAATAGAAATGTTTTTCTTTTAAAGGTGAAAATGTATACAATGGTAAATAAGAAAACATGAAAGCATGTTATGTTTTTATGCAAATTGTGAAACGTTGAGCTTGTAAGATCATGAAATTCGGGTGTGAGCATGTCTTTAAGAGATCGCGGTACATTTCTCTCGTCTATAAAGTATATTAGATTCACAGAGCTTTAAAAAGGGCATGTAAAACAGTAGATTATATGTAATATAAGTACTTGGTATTCGTAATTATAATTATTTTTTATTTAATATTTCTTTATTTAGAGATATTAAACTCTTAAGACACTGTCATTTGGAAAAACTGGAATCGTTGACTTTCCATTTTTTAATTTTAAAATTTAGGTTTTTTAAGGGCCTATACTTTGATGTAATTTAAAATCGATTATGTACAATCTAACTACCTTGGCTACGGCTTCGTAAGAGCAAGGAACGTTGTGGATGTAGATTCAAGTCCTGTCCGTATCGTATATTTTTCAATTTGTAATCGATTTTTTAACATAAAGTGACATCGTGTGTAATAACACAAAACTTGCGACTTATCTTTAAAAAATCGCTACAGCTTGTCACTTGGTCCTGCAGCGAAGCGGTTCTTGGCAAGCGAGGCGCGAGGATGCGGTGTAATCACACGGCACGACGACTCGTAATGATAAATGCGACACCTCGCTGATGTATAGAAGTCACGGACATTTGCATATCACAACCATTTACTACTTCTCCACTTAAGTGGATTCTGTTATCACGGAACAGAGAATTCTTATTTTCACTTGCGCTTTTTCTACAGACCCAACAAAAAATATAACAAATTTGAATGATACTTTCTGTAGTTGCGAAACATAAATTTAAACACTTTAACGGCTTAAAACGCGATATATTAGTTAAACTTAATTGTAATCCAATAAATTAAAAACTGTCTATAATTTACGCGAGTAGTACACATTTGAATAAAACACTTTAACGGTGAATATTAGTTAAACTTATTGAAAAATTTTTAACTTCGGCCCGACGTTTCATGCTTTGCAAGCCGTGGTTCAGGGGGGGGCCCCGGTCTCCCCGTGACCGTGAAGTTTAACTAATAATCGCGTATCAAACCGTTAAAGTGTTTTATTCAAACAATAAAGTGAAAGGCGTTCTCCGGCTGTTCGGCCAATGTGAGCGAGAAGAGGTTCTCGACGTTTCACCATCACGTGCGGTCGGCATCATCATAACGAATATATATCGCGTTTTAATTTTTGAAAGATATTTCTCTATCATTTGTTAAGTAAAGTCAAAATGGCTTTCCGGCTCTGTTCACCTTAAACCGCTTAAGTGACGTTCTCGAAATAAGTATTGATGACAAAACCCGGTTTTAAACCGGCCCAATTACTCACAAATTTAAAATTTTGATACATTAATTGTTAGTATGCGATTATTATATCATAATTAACTTCAAAGAGAAATAAAACGCTCGGTTACCATTTGTAATATTTTTGTGCTAAGTTTTCTATGCATATAATATTCTAGCTCGTCAGCGACTTCATCCGCGTATAATAGTTATTTTGCGCATCATAATTTGTCCTCCACCCTTATCGCAAACATTTTTTAGATCATTGAAAGAGGATCATTATCTCATACATATTATTTATTATATATATATCAGGAAACCCTTAAAGACGAATAAATTTCCCTGTTTCTCCCCATTTTCCGCTTTTTCTTCGCCCCTATTATTTACAGCGTGATGTTTTATAGCCTTCCTCGATACATGCTCTAACGAATACAAAAACAATTTTTCAATTCGAACCAGTAGTTCCTGAGACTAGCGCGTTCAAACAAACAATCTCTTCAGCTTTATGTATTAGTATAGATATATATTTTTTATCTAATTGAATTACCTTAATCCCAGCACTAAATTGCATTGAAATTGTGTAAATATATAAAAAAGTATTTTAGTTTTGAGTCTGTTTCAATGTTAGCTTTTATTTACGGGTAAGTAGTTAATCGGATCTGACCAAATAAAACTATTATGTTTCCCCGAAATTCAAACCCATGACATCTCGCACTAAATAATGAGTTTTAACTATGGCTGGGTGACGGTTACGTTTTGTAAAAATAAGAAAATGAATGGACTAAGATCTTTATTACGCGAGTAGTATATTTTGTGTTTAAACCGTTAAAAGTGTTTTATTTAAATGAAACAAGCTCATTAGGTAGGCTCATATGCGCGTATCCGGCTTTGTCTACCTTCCAATGTTCTTATTTCTTGCGATGCTCTTTGCATATCCTTAATCAATTAT